CACCATATTCAAATGTCTACCTGCCAGGAAGTACCATATTCAAATGTATACCTGCCAGGAAACACCATATTCAAATGTATACCTGCCAGGAAGTACCATATTACAATATCTACCTGCCAGGAAGTACCATATTCAAATGTCTACCTGCCAGGAAGTACCATATTCAAATGTCTACCTGCCAGGAAACACCATATTCAAATGTATACCTGCCAGGAAGTACCATATTCAAATGTCTACCTGCTAGGAAGTACCATATTCAAATGTCTACCTGCCAGGAAGTACCATATTCAAATGTATACCTGCCAGGAAGTACCATATTCAAATGTCTACCTGCCAGGAAGTACTATATTCAAATGTATACCTGCCAGGAAACACCATATTCAAATGTATACTTGCCAGGAAACACCATATTCAAATGTCTACCTGCCAGGAAGTACCATATTCAAATGTCTACCTGCCAGGAAGTACCATATTCAAATGTCTACCTGCCAGGAAGTACCATATTCAAATGTATACCTGCCAGGAAGTACCATATTCAAATGTATACCTGCCAGGAAGTACCATATTCAAATGTATACCTGCCAGGAAGTACCATATTCAAATGTCTACCTGCCAGGAAGTACTATATTCAAATGTATACTTGCCAGGAAACACCATATTCAAATGCATACCTGTCAGGAATCACCATATTCAAATGTATACCTGCCAGGAAACACCATATTCAAATGTCTACCTGCCATGCCAGGAAGTACCATATTCAAATGTATGCCTGCCAGGAAACACCATATTCAAATGTATACCTGTCAGGAATCACCATATTCAAATGTCTACCTGCCAGGAAGTACCATATTCAAATGTCTACCTGCCAGGAAGTACTATACTCAAATGTCTACCTACCAGGAAGTACCATATTCAAATGTCTACCTGCCAGGAAACACCATATTCAAATGTATACCTGCCAGGAAACACCATATTCAAATGTCTACCTGCCAGGAAGTACCATATTTAAATGTCTACCTGCCAGGAAGTACCATATTCAAATGTCTACCTGCCAGGAAACACCATATTCAAATGTATACTTGCCAGGAAACACCATATTCAAATGTCTACCTGCCAGGAAACACCATATTCAAATGTATACCTGCCAGGAAGTACTATATTCAAATGTCTACCTGCCAGGAAGTACCATATTCAAAT